GACCTATACAATTTTTTTCTTTTTGATTTTTTACCTGGATTACTGAGATGCATCAGGACATGCCTCAACTTTAGTTTCTCAATATTAGGAGAAATAATAAACCAATGACATGGTTTTGTTATCAACATGGGGCCACCAAAGTTGAACATTTGCCCAGGACCCCCTCAGGTGGTTGGTGCAGCCCTGCAGATAACAGGCTGACCTGGTGAGAAGCAGACAGCTGTGTGTCCTACCTCCTCAGCCTCACAAACAGTAGTAACCAGATGAAGGGAGAATCAGGTTAAGCAGGCACTGGAGTTAAAAGTTTGTCGATTCATGACTGGTGAGCAGAAACATTTTTTTAAAGTTACAATTAAACATTAAACTGAGTTATTTTAGCTGTTTGTTTGTTTGTTTGTTTGTTTGTTTAGACCAGCTGCTGCTGCTGCTGGCTGTTGGTCTGTCTGTAGGTCTGCTGCTGCCAAGCCTGATGACGATGATGATGATGTGCTGCCTGAGGAGGAAGAAGAACCAGCAGAATCAGTACCAGGAGCTTCTCTCCTCGGTGCCATCGGTGCCGTCGTGTTCTGCTCCTGTGATCCTGGTGACTCAGGGCTCCTGGACCTCGTAAACCACCACAAACATTTCTATCAAAATATACATCAAGATGATTGATATGTTGTTCAGTTTTAAAATGATCAGGTTGTATTAATCAACATGACCCGTCTTTTTTATTTATGTGTGAATGTAGATTAAAGTTTACTCAAATAAAAAGAAAGTCAACACTGAGGTTTTGCTACAAACACTCAGCTCAGAAGAGTCATTTGATGTTTTGTGTGTCTAAGGCCCACTGACGTCCCTTTCACTTTACCCCCTCGCTTCATCCCACAAAATGTTGGAGAGCTGACGACGGATGAGGGCGTGGAGAAAAAGGAGGAGGAGGGGATGAAGGTGGACACCAGGAGGGATATTTTGGCTCATCGTGGGTCTCTTTCTGTGAGAAGTAGGTCATTACTGCTGTTTTTTATTAATTAACTAATTTTTTCATAGCTCTGATAAGATTTTTTATTTGACAGCTAATCCAGACAACTAAAACTAGATTTAAAATAATAATTCTGCTATTAATTTGTAGCCATCATTACATTGAGAAATTATGACAGTCCTGAATATAAGATGAATGTAGTCATGGTTTCTTGTTTTTATTGGTTTTAATACCAACAACAAAAAGAATTAAAGGTTTAAGTATTCTAGCTGGGTTCTAGGGTTTTTCTAGCTCACATGTGTCAAACTCAAGGTCCGTGGGTCAAATGTGGCCTGTCACAACTTTTAATGGGACCCCTCAAGAACTTCAAAGATGTATTAATGTTTTAAAATAAGTGTACACCGCTTTGAAGCCAGCCATAAACTACATTTCTCTCAATGCATGTTGATTATTTTACATGCAAAATGACACCACCCTACCACTAACTGGGGGTTTCAAAGTTGCTGGCAAAATTCGCCWCRTAAAATCTCCATTTCACTGCATTTTCACCTGCTACGTTTGCTGCAGCCCATTTGCACTGGCAAGAGGGAATTTCCAATTTATAAATCATAATTTTAAACGGGAACCCTCCTCCAGTGAAAATTCCCAGTTGGAATGTGGGAGAGTTTAGAATTTAAGATGGCAGCTACACACCACAACTCTACATGGAGTAAAACTCTTTTACTTTTAACAGTGTTTCTGTATTATTTATTTCACATTTTGTTGTACATGTAGTACTTTTCAGTGTTTATAAGTAGACATGTTAAAACACTGTTTCTGTGTAGGAAATACCACATAGAGCTCAATTATTATTTGCCAATTAGGAATGTGATGTTTCGTTAGACAAGAAACGTTGAAATTAATTACATCTGGTCATTTGAGGCCCACCATAACGCTCACATGGCCCTCGAAGAAGATTAGTTTGACACCCCTGTTCTAGCTGATCCATCAGTTTGTCTTTATCTGATTTCATCCATTTGAAAGCCAGAGTTTGACAAAACGTTACAGCAATTCTCAAAGTGACAGCTGAGGTTGGACCAGCTGTTTCTCCAAGTCATAAATGATGTGAATCCCCTTTTAAATCCTGACACCATCACCTTCATTTCTCACTTTCTTCAGCTTGGTACCCAGTCGGATCGGTGTTGGCCGGCCTGTACACCGTAACCCCCCTGGGCGAGGTGGTGGCGCCCCCTCCTGGCATGGCCACGCGTCTCTGCTTCTCCGTGGAATACCGACACAGCAGCGAGCAGCTCATGGTCTCCCTGCTCCGCCTCGGTAACCTGCCGCCTCATTTCCACAGCAACGTGACGCTGGTGGAGCTCCGCCTCCTTCCTGATGACCGGAGGCCCCGCCAGGCGAAGGCCCGGGGGACAGGGCCCGACCCAGAGTTCTGCGATTGCTTGATTTTTCAGGCACGTGTTTAAATCTGCAGCTTTGTGTGAGGAATCTAGATGTGATATTTGTTGTGTTTAATCCCATGAAGCTTAAAAAATAATTAAGTCCTCTGGACGGGTTTTTCTTTAATGAAACGTTTTGTCTCTCCTCCAAAAGACTTCTTCAGTCTGATGAGTTTCAGGTGAACTCAGCCTTATAAGCACTGCCTCCACATGGACAAACAGGTTAGTCACATGCAAGAGAGGGCCATCGCCTAACAATAGCCTTGATTAGCTCCATTGTTCATAGAGGGTCATGTGCCCCATCACCTGACTTATTGGTTTGGACGCTGTGGTTATTTGGTGTCGTGTATGTAGTGAATGCAAGCAGGGGCTCAACGTCCCCTTGTTTTTGTCTCTCTTTCCCTCTTTGTGTTGGTATCGTTGGGGCCCTGATTCACACATTTTGCTCACAGGGGGTTGAGTCATACTTGCAATAACAGCATTGTAGGAGGAGGACAACTGGACACGAAGGCCTCCACCTCTGTTTAATGGTGGACAGTTTTTCTTCACAAAGATGGCTTCCTTTACTCCTCTCTCAAACCAACGTTCCTCTCTATCAAGGATGAGAACATCTTCATCACTGAAAGAGTGACCGCTGGCCTGTAGATGAGTGTTAACTGCAGAGTCCTGACCTGATGATGTAGTTCGTCTGTGCTGGCTCATTCTTTGAACAGTGGCTGTTTTGTTTCCCCAATGTATGACTGATCACAGTCCTCCTGACACTTAACAGCATAMACTATATTACTCTGTTTTTTGCAGGGGAACTGGATCTTTGGGGTGAACTAATCTTTGTCGTAATGTGTTTTGGGGTTTGAAAGCCACTGGGACGTCATGTTTAGAGAATAAACATCTCAGTTTCTCTGAAACTCCCGCCACATATGTAATGACGACTGGTTTGTGTCTGGRTTTAGGGTCTTCATTTTCAGCTGGTTGTTGGCTGGAATCCATTTTGGGTTTCTTGTCTGCTTTCAGAAAAGCCCAGTCAGGATAACCACACTGCTCCAGGGCCTGTCTTGTGTGTGATTTCTCTTTCTCCCTGGCTCCTGGGTTTGTAGGGACACTGTCTGCTCTGTGGTACAGAGTCCTGATGACTCCTAACGTGTGTTCCAGTGGGTGATGAGAATCAAAACGCAAATACTGGTCTGTATGGGTGGGTTTGCGATACACATCAGTTTCCAACCGTCCTCCATCAGAGACATCACAGCCCAGGAACACCAACCTGCCTTCTTTTACATCCTCTCGTGTGAACTTTATATACAGTATTTATCCACAGATTTGATGTGATCAGTGAAATGTTGGACTTCCTGGGATTTMATTTKAACCCAGGTGTCATCAACATACCTGAACCAATGGCTCGGTTGTGTCCCTGTAAAGGACATCAGAGCTCTCTTTCCACCTCTTCCATGTACAGGTTTGCAACATTAGGAGAAACTGAGGAGTCCCTAGCACACCCATGTTTCTGCTTATAGTATTGCCCCCCATATGTGAAGTAGGTTGACTCCAGGCACAGTTTCAGGAGTTGGCACAGTTCTGTGGAAAGTGGTTCTGCTGCTGAGAGTGGTGTCTGATTTTAATCTTACACAGACCACATCCACCGCCTCATCAACAGGAACGCACGTAAAGAGTGATGTGACATCAAAGGAGACCATAGTTTCGTCCATCTCCATGATGACATCACTAGTCCAAAGAAGAACCTGTCCAGAGGACTTACTTATTTTTTGTTTTGATTTTTCTACCTTGATTACGGAGATGCATCAGGAGCTTATGAAGCTTAATTTAAATGTTAATTTTTATCTTTGTGTCCCACAGGTGTCAGCAGTGAGTGTGCTGAAGAGCACTCTGAGCGTGTGTGTGTTGAGTGTGGATAAACATGGTAAACGACACGCTGTGGGCAGAGTGTTGTTCCCTCTGGAAGGAGAGCTCGGTCAGGCTGGCAGAGTCCTCTGGAGAGACCTGGACCCGGAGGAGGCGACGCAGGTAAAACACAAGGGAATGCATGTCACCTGCTGCATTTCATGCTTGATAACAAAACTCTGGATWGTTCTGTCTGATTCTCTTYAGTGTTCAGAGCTGGGTGATGTGCAGGTCTCTCTGAGCTACAGTCCGTCTCTGCAGCGCCTCTCGGTGGCGGTCCTGAAGGCTCGAGGCCTCCAGCTGCTCACAGATTCAGGTTTTCAAGCTTTTCTTTTTTGATGTTCCTCCACAGCTGCAGCGATCAATCCAAGAGTTTAGTTCGGTTACACGTCTGTCTGTTTCTCCCAGGTGTGTGTGTCCAGGTGAGCTTACAGATACACACCCAGGCTGTGAAGACAAAGCGAAGCTGCGTGGTGACAGGTGGACAGGAGCACCTCTTCGACTACAGGGTGACTTTTAAACTGCGACCGCAGAGTTTGGACGAGTCCTGCCTGAGGTTTGAGCTCCAGCAGCCCAAAGATAACAGCTCAGGTTGGTTTATCTTCCACGTGTTTTGCTTCCAGTTGTCTGAAATAAACACACTAAAAAAATTTAATGAAGGTGAAGGTCAGTCGTTTTGCAGAAATCTGCTCTCCTCAGCTTGTTCATTTGCTTCTTGCAGAATCTCCATCCCTGCTGGGTGTGCTGGTTCTGGGTCCCTTCATGTATGCCAGGGGTCCTCAGCTGCAGCACTGGATGGACATGGTCAACGAGACACAGGAACCGGTCAAACTGTGGCACAGATTGAGCAGAGCCACATAAATCATAAGCCACATTCGTTCCTCGTAGACTCTAAATAACAAATTTTAAAAACCACTGAACAGTTTCCTGCAGGGCATCTAGAACTGCTCCGGTTTCCTCCCACAGTGTTAACACACTTTAAGAAGCCAAATATCTTCCTCAGAAGCTGGTTGGAAAAAAAATCAGGGCCTAAATGGGTCTTAAATTGCATCAGAATTAGTTTTCATGAAGATATAGTTCACATGTCAGAAACTAAATCTGTGATTTCTATTCTGTGGTTTTCTGTTGGGTTAAATTAAATAAATCTAAAAGCTTCTAAAATCGGTCATCTTGACATCTGGAGTGGTTCTTACACTGAATTAAACTTTTTTTCTTTACTCGTTTGATTCATTGTTTTGCATTATTTTTATGTCCTTTTTTACATGTAAAAAATCTGTCAGACGGGTATGGAGGACTGAATCTGACATAATTAGAAATAAAAGCAGAAATACATAAATGGCCCAATAAATAAATACACTTAAAATGCACCAATTAATTAATTAAATAGAAATGAGCAGAATCAGACAAGAGCACTGTGTTTTCTCTGTACTTCCTAGTTACATCCAGCAGGTGGCGCCGGTCTCCTTCAGCCCTCAGTGCGCAGCCGCAGTTTGAGCCGCAGAGCGAGCAASAGGAAGCTAACAACTGTAAAGATATGAAGTTGGACACGAGTTTTTAACATTTTATCTGACTTATCAACATGAAAATAAATGAAAATACTTTACTGGAGGGACCGAGGGTTGTGTTGGTTCCTTACAATGAAGAACACGTTCCAAGGTAATTCTAAATCTGCTCTAAACACATTTACTTTAACCTACACGTATTTGTTTTGGGGCTAAAGACATTTTTTTTAGAGAAACGTCACGAATTTCTGTTATTTTAATAACTCAAAAACACTATTTGTGTTGCAGCTGATGGGTTTGGAGTTCATCTTTTTCAGTTTGTGGTTATAAAAGTATAATTTGATATTAATTTGAATAAAATAAAAAATATTTAAATAAAATCCGTCTTTTTTTCCTACTAAGAAATCTTAAATGCTGTATTTTAGAACAAGATAATAGCTAAACAAATGCCACCCTGGTCCTTTGTTTCTATCTACCCACCCACATTTTGTTTCATGGTCCATTTCAGCTCACGCACACGAATTATCTTACATTTTCATGCAGTATGTTATTATTTGTTGAATAATTGTTTTAGTTATAAGGAGTTAAACACAGTTCCTTTAACTGGAAATCAAACACTATATAGTTATTTTACACCTGAATGTCTTCAGTTTGTGTTGTGCTGTTTTCTACAGGTATCACGAGTGGATGAAGTCTCCTGAGCTGCAGCAGCTGACCGCTTCAGAGCCGCTCAGCCTGGAACAAGAGTACGACATGCAGAGGAGCTGGAGAGAGGATAACGACAGTACGGATTCATCGGTTTTCACTCAACACACAAAAAAATAATGTTTATAGAGCTACAAACCATCCAGTATTACACACAAACAGAAATGATTCATCACTGTTGCAGATTTCAGTCAAATATGCACGAAGGGTTAGAAATATGTTTTATGCCACTACCTTCCCAGAGTGCACGTTCATCATTTTGGACAARCAGCAGTGGGCGGATCCCAGTGTCGAGGAGGAGCAGTGCATGGTGGGAGACGTCAACATCTTTCTGACCGACCCCACAGACCCGTCTGTAGCAGAGCTGGAGATCATGATAGCAGGTGACTGACAACTTTCTCAAGCTTGTTTGTCAACCAGCTACAGTGACGAAGACATGTTGACATTCAGTGTCTTTTTTTTTTTCTTTAACAGAGCCAAGTTACAGAGGCAGAGGCTTTGGGAAGGAGGTGACGAGCATGATGATGTGTTACGGTGAGGAGTTAGAGGTTTTGTTAGTTAATGTTGCACATTGACCAGATGTGTTGTGTTATTCACAAAAAGGAGAAAAGTTGTTGAAGCCCCTTTGAAATGATTATTTTCTTGCTGTTGATAAAGGAATAACTCTAGAATGTCAGGAAAAATAATTCAAATAAGCTCGATGTAGAAAATTACAACGAAAATGGTCATTAATAAATGAATTTACTCTCAAATCATCACATTTCAGCTTTCTTACTTTGTGACTAAAATGTTCTTGTTGTGACAAAATCTACAAGTTGCATTTTAATAACTTAAAACCTACGATAACCTTTATTTTTTTGCTCATTGTGAAACAAAAATCTAGTTAAAAATAAGGCGTTAGTGGAAAATAAACTTGGTCACTATCGTGTCCAATATCTCATACAGCAGGGCTTTTCAACTAAATTGCTCCGGGGGCCACAGTTACTGCAGACAAACAGCTCAGGGGCCAAACATCCAGCAATTAAAGTCAGTATGTAAATAAACCAAGTATTACACAGTTCTGTTACCTTTGAAATATTTTATTTTGCTGCATTTAATCATGAATACAACATACAGATCCCTATGTAATAAAAGTAGTGATAATAAAACAATATCAAAAACAAAAATAATACATCATGCTTCCTATTTAACACAAATATTATTTTGACATCTCTGACTTGCCAAATTTTTAAACCAATTTTATTTTCACTTTCATAGTTTTATCTTCAACTGCTTGTAGTTTTAACTGTCTTTGGTTTTTACTACCTTTTAGTCACAGTTTTAACTTTTGTGTGGATACTACACATCTATGTGTAACTAAAAGAACTTATAGTAATTAAAGTAGAGATCYGGGGGTTTKGGCTTAAGAGATTAATTACCTAATTGGTGGGCCAAACTTTGGCCACTCACGGGCCGGATGAGGCCCCCCGGGCCGCCAGTTGAATAGCCCTGTCTTACAACTTTCAATCATGTTCTACCACCGTGAAGCAAACTCTATAAATGATCATTTGTGTGTTGTTTTTATTTATTTACCAGGAGTCAACAAACTCGGAGTCAAAAAGTTTCAAGCCAAAATTGGTCTGGACAACCAGGTCAGCGTCACCATGTTCAAGAAGCTGCACTTCCAAGAGGTCCGAAGGAGACACCATCTCTYTGCACGAGTAGGTTCGAGCCTCGAACGCGAATCCGACGAATCACAGCTGCCGTTTCTGCGCAGGTGTCTGTGTGCAGCGTGTTCAAAGAGGTGACCCTGGAGCTGACCGTGGACGAGTCCGTTYGGACCAAGCTGCAGGACGATGCGGCGCACGTGAAGGAGAGAGACTACAGACAGGCGTGCAGCAGGAGACGTGAACTGTTTTCCACACTGATGCYGTTCTGAGCTGCTCCACATGCAGCAGCTCAGTCTGAGGAAAACTCCACTCTTCAGTCGGAGGACTTAAGACAAGCATGGACAATAGAGTTTTTATTTGAAATGTTTTAAATTGCACATTCTTTTGCACACTATGTAATAAAAATGTTTCATCAGGTTTATCTCTTGGATAAAAAAAAATGCAACATTGTCATATTTCTTGCAGTGGCAGAGGCGTTTATTAAAGCTGCTGGTGTTTGAGCACGAACAAAGCTGAAGGAGAAACAAAGCTGGAAATGCATTTCTTTCTTTCTTTTTTAAAAGAAACTAAGATGAATATGTTGGAGTTTGAAGCGCTGGTTGATCACAAAAGGTTTAGGAGTTAATTTCCACATTCCAGAAAACACATTATTATAATCTCAACAAGCAAGACCTCCTTAAAGGAAGATTATTTTTGATTTTTCTTTTAGTCACATCAGAAGAAAACATTTTGATGTTTAACTTAATGTGGTAGATTTGAATCTTTCCAAAATTTTAATGAATCTGTAGATAAATTTAACATAAAAGGAAAAATACACAACCCACTGCCCCCCTCCAGTTAGCCTTACCTGAAGTTTAGTTTGAGCAATCTGAAAAATCAGACATTTTACAAATTGCAAGTATGTAAAGTCTGATTGAAAAATAAACCATTAAAATTTAAAACTAGTTAAAATGGATCTCTTTCTTGTTTTAGCTTTTTTTTTCAGGCCTCTTAAATTTTAATCAGTGAAAATACAAAAATTCACAATAAAAATACCATTAACACTCAAAGCCATGATCGTTACAGAACTTTGAGCAGGAAAATAAGGTTTGTTGTTCGTAAACAAAAAGAAAAAAAAAACACTTTCTAAATTAATTTGGCAAAATACGTGCCCGTTAGTTTATTTACCRCTTGGTAAAACCAACTCACTTATCCATACCTGACTTATTAACTGTACTTGTTGGAGGATGGTGAAGGACATCACTCATACCGCTTTCTGCAACACTTCACAGAATATTTAACACAACCTGCTGATGCTGATGTAAAACAGCTGGACGTTTGCTGGTCAAAGTGTAAAACTGTCAACAGGGAGACGTCAAAGACCTGATTTCTTTTAAATTAGGCTGAAGTACAAATATAAGCGTGACAACGATTCCATAGGAATAACATCTCTCCCTGTACACTGTTTCAATATTTCTGCATGTCGACAGGAAAGTCCCAGACTTTTCACCTTAAAAGTCCTGCAAATCAGAGTTTTGTTCAGTTCTTAGATGTTTGTGTTGACTCGAGAAGTTCCTTGGCTGCAGACGACAGATTCTGCAGCAGCTGCCTRGCCACGCCCCCCTGCACTTTGGCCCAGGATAAGCCGTCGTTAACGGCGGCGTTGATCGGCGCACACACGTCCTCCTTCTGCAGGTCGGTCAGCCGGCAGGCRGCGGCGACGCCRGCCAATCCCAGCGTGAACAGGAGGAGGAGCTTCAACAGCAGGCCWATGAGGGAGCGTCTCGGTTTAGGGGACGGTTCCGCGATGACCTTTTTATTTCCTGAAACAAATAGGCGAGGTCAGAACATCTTTGGGCTGAAAGTGAAACTGTTTGTGAATAACAATAATAATAATAATAATAATACTAATGCTGCCCAAATCAAATTCTGGAAGTGGTCATTCAACTAGATCTGTTACAAAAGGACAACTGATATTACCAACTTTTAAAAACTGTTACGGCCAGAGGTCTTTCTTCTATGTTTATACTAAAGCATGGAATGACATTCCTCAAAACATAAAGTCCATTTCAAAACTACAGCCCTTTAAGAAGAATCTTGTCTGCCATCTGCTGGACACTTTTTGTTGTGCTCATATTCAGATGTCCTATTTTGCAAATGCTGCCTTCCTGAAATTTGGTATGCTTATTTGTCTTTGTGTCTATGGTGTATGATGATGTGATTGTGATGCTGTAATTCTGAGTGTTTTATGTGCTGCAGAACAGGAACCTGCTGTAAAACAGCAATTATGCTGAGTCAGGCTTGATTTTTAATTATCTTTTCCTGTTAAATAAATAAATCAATCAATCAAACCTCACCTGCAGCTTGTCCGTTCTTCTTCTTCCTTTCCTCATTCTTCTTCTTCTGTTGCTCCTGCGCAGCCACAGCTGCCATCTGAGCGTTGTACTCTTTCCTCCTCYTCTCCTTCTCCTCCGCCTTCTCCCGTTTACGAGCCTCCCTCTCTCTGGCCTCCCGCTCCCTCTGTTTCGCTTCCTTCTTCTTCTCCAACTCTGTTTGTTGACACAACAGCGAGTCATTAGAAAACATTTCTCTGAAAAAGCGACAGGTGCGAGGACCGAGTGAAACGGAACTGAAAAAGCAGTCAAAAAAAAGGCATTTGTTTACCCTTTTCTCTTAAAAGGCGCTTCTCTCGAGCCCGATCGACGTCTTCCTGAATCGCTCTCATGTGCTGCAGAACCTGAAAAAAAACAACAAAAAAAAAAACAAAACCCGCAGTTGTTTCAGTTTTGGAGGTTTCCGTTAAAAAAACAAACAAAATTTTTGGTTCATAACCGTATCACCTTCGAGGCACACTGTTTGCACTGCTTCTCATCCAGACAGTCTCCTGCAGCTTTGGCCAAGCCGGGCTCCAGAGGGTTATCTTTCAGATCGAGCCACTTTAGATTCTGAACAGAAAAAAAAAATGTATTAAATAAAAAAACGGACTCAAAAACTTCAGCCTGTTGGACGTGGAGCTGGACGGCATCACTCCTGATGTTACAGAAACTAAGTGCCCTGAACGTTCACTCACCCTGAGCTGAGAGAAGCTCACAGGCAGAACCACCAGCTTGTTGTTGTAAAGGTCCAGATGTTGAAGACTGACCAGGTTCCCAAGGTCATCTGGCAAACAGGTCAGCTGGTTTTTACTCAAGTCCAGCTTCACTAAGTGAGTCAGGCTGCAAAACTCTGGCTGCATAAAGAAAAAAAAGAACAGTAACAGAGATGCTTAATATTCTTTGTATCATAGCCACCGAAACAAGAAGAAAACAAGATAAAACTGTTGTGAGAGAAAATAAACTTAGTTTCAGAAAAAAAAAGCAAATATTACTCAAACCTAAACTTGTCCTGATTAAAATATTTCAGGGTGAAACTTTTGTTCTGTGTGCAAATTGACTAAAACTACAGTAAATGTAAGAAATGCATCATGTGTGTTTCCAATTAAACAACTTTGTTTAAAACAAACCAACATTTTTTTTTACTTTTATAACAATCCAAACTTGTTATATTTTAAAATGAGTTGCTTTAAAAGGTTGTCACTGCAATGTCATGAAGACTGGTCATTAAAATATCATATATTACAACATGTGGACAATTAAAAAAAATAGTAACAGCTGTATTAAAGACTTGTAAGCAACATTTGTGAATGATTGCCAACTACCGTGTGAGTTCGCTTACCTACAAAAACACAAGTCGTCACTAAAAATAGACAAACATTTAGTGAAAGACTTGACCACAATATTTTTTGTATTGATGTATTAAATAGAATTGACTAAGGCCAGCCTTAACCAACAATGTGACTCAAGCTTCCTTGAAGCTTTTTTGTAGATTTAGCAAAGTGCCTTGTTTACACTGAGTGCGTACCCACATTTCAGAATTACCTTTATGTCTAACATATGTGGGGAAAACGTGGAGTAAATGTTTTCAAACTGGAGAACTTTTTTATGTTATATGTGTATCTATAACAGGATACATTCTCATGTTTTAGTTTATTATGCTCATACAAATGTGTGTTTGATACTTACAGGAAGGGAGACAATGTTGTTACAAGACAAGTCCAACACAGTGGCTTTGGGGAATGAAGCCTGTCGGAAAATTAAAAACAATAAAAGCCATTTTATTATGAAAACACGTTGATATTTATTAATGTTTATAACATTAAATCGTAAAACTACATCAGCTGCAAGCTGTGACTGAATTTATGTGTATTTTTTTTTTTCTCAAAGACTTACCAACTCCTTGACTGGCACCTCACTGAGGTTACACAAACTCAGGTCCGCTTCATTCCCGCTGACTTTATCCTTCAAGTTCAACACTTTATTTTTACTCATTCTGCAGTCTGACAAAAAAACACAGACATGATGAGGACACCGATTTACAGCTGCCTCTTTAGCAAACAAGAAGCTCTTTAACTTCATATTTTTTATAATTTCTCACCTGTTTATAACTGAAGCCWAGCTCCGTTCAGGTTTCACTATCCGGCGGACAAAGAAACGAGTGGTTTGAGGGGTAAATCTGTAGAAAGTTGGTGTAAAAACTGTAACGTTGTGGCTTTTGGCAGCACTGACTCCCTGAATGAAAATCCACGTCACTGGTTGAGCAAAGACGTGGAGACGTCGAGGCGAAGCGCGCCGCCTGCAGGCAGGGAGGAGAAACTACACCCAAAACTGCACAAACATTTTACTGTTTTACCTGACATAAAAGTCTAGTTAAAAGTGGCTAGGAATTACTTAAAAGACGGTGTTGATA